AACATCAGTCAGAGCTCGTAGAACCTTGGGAATTTTAGTTTGCAGGCAAATTTCTGAGTTGCCAACCTTGCAATACGATTTACAAAGCGTCCTGGACTTCGCCTAAGAGTACCGATCATCTGAAACAGGCGAACAGTCTCGTCGTGAATAACGTTTGTAACATTGCCGCGAACTTATCCAATTTCCTGGGGAGTTAAAAAATGTACATTAATCTTATCCTTGACGCGAACTTCGTTCGAAGCTCATTCTCGTTTAATACCTTGCATACGTATTCATTTCAAACTTCCCCGGCACGCCCCGATTCAATTTTTTATCCATCACGGAGATTAACAGCCGGTCATCCAATATTAATAAGAACCATGAACTTTACTCCGGCCGAGTTTCTTCTTGTACACTTCCAACGAAAATCTATATTCGATGTACCCGATTATGGAATTTTACTCCATCCGAGACTCGCTTTACTTCATGCCAAATTCGTTCAAAGATTATTCCAAGATATTTAATATTCAACCTTTTCCTAGTAGATTCTGTGTCTATTTGATCTATACCCATGCACACATGCAATGAGAAAATGTTGCATCTCGTGCAGTATTAATAGCAGAAAACGAGAAATAATTTGCAAATGATACGAACAAATTTTTAATAAATCTTTATTAAAATATTACGTACACCGAGTACATAATCGGACCACTTTGGAAGGCTTGGCAAAATTGTCGATTGTTATATCACACCGAATACAAGCAAGCACAGGTTGTTACAATTTTATCGGAAGAAATCCAAAATTAATCCGAAAAATGAAATAAAAATGGCACCAAGCATTTCGACTCGTTTTATAATCCCAGGCACGTCGATACACGAACACGAGCCACGTTCCGATCGAATGCCATTATATCCGACTGTACCTGGACTAACCAGGTGATATAAATCACCCTTAAGTCCCGTGACGATACGCAAAACATTAAAGAGCACGGTAGGAAGCGACAAAACGAACGGGATGAAACGAGGGGTGCAGAGAGGACGGCGAGACGTCAGCGAGCAATATCGATCAGCATTCAAGTTTTCCCGAGGAAAAAAGTAGCTACGTAAAGTAGCTTTAAGCCTGGGCCCTCTGCAACGCTTACAGCGATTCTTCACAACGGTTGACAGACTAAATACCGTCCCTTGACAACTTTTTGTACGAAAGCTTGGCCTCCTCCAGCGAAGAGTTTCCGGCGTCAGAAGCACGCCGAGCAGGGGGGTGGATGTAAGGTGGAGGGAAGCGTAAGAAAAAATATGCGACCGACGTTGCACGCATATTACAAGCCACCAGAGCACACACCGTGTACGAATGAACACGGCCGCGTATGCCACTTTCAGCAAATCCCGCGTAATCGAGAGGGTACAAAGGGTGATGGGGTGGCGCGTCGCAACAATACGTATTCCACGAGGCGGACCGGTGGAAATATACATAAATATACATTTTTATGATGAATATACTGCAGGAAATATATATCGCTTCAAGAAGGAGATTCCAAAGGCGGAGAGGGTGGTTCGGATGCAGCGTATCGTATCAGAGAAACTCGTAAACGGATGCGGAGAAGAAACGTCACGTCTAGCACCGGATATTTCACACCCCGCCTTCAGCTGCTTTTGTATTTTTGTTTGTCGTACGTGCGACGTAACCCAACGCGGCAAATTTGAGTCTCGAGCAAGGAATTTTATTCCTGGCCACCGCGCCAGAAAGACGGCTACTTTATTAGCTGCTTTACCTCCAACCGAGAAGCTAACTCGCTAGCGAAAACGCATTTTCTGCGCGATTCGACGAATGCATCGCGAGTTGAATCGTCGTGTTCGCGTGGAAAGCTGCAATTTGCACTTTGCTCCACAACTTTTTGATTCTATCCAGTAAGAACTCCGGTAGAAAAATTTCTAATGGGAAATATCTGCGAAATTATGTGGAGTGAAACGAAACTAGACAATAAATTTCGAATTATTATTAATATCCCCATAATGGTCCTGTGTGCCAGTGAATTTTAAAATATATGCCCTTTGCTAAATAAAAGAGGAGTTTGAATAAAAATTAATTTTATTCGACCGTGTGATGCTGTTTAAAATATGTCGCGACGTATACTGATTTTTCGAAGAATTAACTCGTCATCGCCGATTAAAAAATGAATGATATTTACGAACTTGGGACACCTAGTCCTGACGTATTTTTGGACCGAATGATAAATAGAATAAATACGAATTTTGATTGATGATAAAATCAATGGCGGAAGCATTGTCATTCGAGTGTACTCGCTGACAGCGCAATGGGTACCGAATATTTGGTACGAAATGATAATTAAAAAGCTACAAGAGCGCAGCTGGATATTTATATTTTACGTATAAATTCGACACCATTAGGGGTTGGAGTATTTCGTGATTATTTGTTTTCTAATTGTGCCGTTACAGAAATCAATGGCTCTATATATCAGAAGCAATTTCTCTGCCTCGCCTGGAGACTTTAACGAAACTTAATTAAAATTTTAATGAGGCAGCAGTAAATATTTCCCAACACGCGCACTTGGGCCGTTATTAAATACGTCCAAATGACGTTTCTCCCCGTTTAAACTGGATCATTTATCGAAACAGTTCTTCGGGCGGGCAAACGCAAAGAGTAATTTCATAGCGGACGTGTTCCGTTGGCGCATACGCGATTAAGATGCGATCCGACGATTTCATTTCCGCGCGCCTAATTATTATGCGTCCCTCAACGACGCCATCTTAGATACACTGCGAGTTGCCTCATCACCGCGACTCGCATAATCGCGCGCTCGAATTCAGGCTGCACGCTTCCCAAAGTGCTTACGTTGTCTTTCAGTTAGGGCAATGTATCCTCGATCGTAATTTAAAACTTCCGAAAATGAATTTACAGGCTCGGTTTATGTCCTAAGAAGTAGGAAAGTAGCTTTCCGAAGATTTAAAACTTTCCCTGAAACTTGATACCGCCAATGATAAAGAAGATACATCGAAAGCAACGCTGATTGGCTGAACTTCGTAATATTCTTTCTTGGAAAAGTATTCCGCAATTTTAATTAACGGGACGAACTCGGGGTTAATTCGTTTTCGTTAATTATCTGCTGTACGCAAGAAAAATTTTTATTTCCTTATGACTGCGAAGTTTAATTCACCTTGATAGCAATTCACGAAGCTTCTCTATGCAGTATGCTCAATGTTAACACAAACTGTCATTTAACGCGATAATTTACGAACACGTTAGAACCTTCAAACTGCCTATAAATATTTAAATATTTAAATATGCGACTAGAAAATGAACGGTCGATTCCTATTTTCCGTAACGACCCAATATTATTTCGCGTAAACGCTCGTGGAAATTTCCCGCCGCGGCCCTTATCGTAAGCATGTACCGTTAAGAAATATGGTGGACGTCCTTTTGAATTACTACAGCGGCCGATCCTAGACGCGTATTAAAATCCTTTTAACCGGACATAAATAAAGACACGCTCAGCCAGGTAATCTCCCGAGAGGATTACTCGGGCGTTGCCAAGGAAAAGAGACTCGCGTTTACCTGGTTGTCGTCAAATAGAGCGCAGACGCTATCAGAGAGTATACCTGGCCATTCTATCGCGTCCCCGTGCACGTCCACCGATTCAAAATTCGTCCCTGCTATCCGAGAGCTCGCAGCGCCATCTCTACCAACTCTCTTCCCGCGCGAATTTAATCTCTCTTGCTCGCGTCAAAGCAAATTCCATAAAACAGACTGTCTCCCTCTCTCCGGCTTTCCCGAGAGCACTACCGTTTCGTTGTTCCATCCTTCTCATATTTGACTCGATTACGAAGGAGGGAGAGAGAGAGGAATAGCATCGAGCGGATGAGGAAAAGAGAGTGGTGGGGGTAAACGAATGGCGGATAAGGGTGGAAGAGAAACGTGTTCGAACCGATGCTAGATTCTTGTGGACTAATCTCGAGAACGAGGTAAATGGTAACTGATCAACGGAGAAGAGACAGGGATGAAAGTAGGACGTGACGGTCTAGAATGCAATTGAATTTCAGATTTACGCCCGACAACGTAATGCGACTCGAAATTACGTCGTAGCTATAGGCGTGCTGCATGTCGGTTACAAAAGGCCAGTCGCGAGTCGAGAACGTCTTCGTCTCTTTGAGCGCTAATTTGCTTCTAAAGTGACGCTGATAGTTGAATTTCTGAATGCGATCGAATTCCTGACGCGCTACAATTCGATCGTGCTCGGAACATTCGAAACAATTCCAAGTTCGCAGTATCGCGACGACGCACGCATACGACGATTTTCAAACATGGCGATGTTTGCCGCGACGCATATGCGTCAATAAATTAACCGCGTAAATAGAAAGATATTTGCAAATCTTTCAACAAACAAAGTATTCCTTTGCTCGAAGCTTTCCCTTCCAGTTCATTGCTACTCGAACTAGATTCAGCTGGATTATTCCTACCAAGCCTCGTGATAATTGTTGCAAAAACGTAGTTCAATTTCAGTCTCGTGTTTAACCACACATGTAGCAAACGTTTTCACCAGCACCGCGCTAACTCGTAACGATCACATTACTAATCCTATTTAACGACACGCGTATTGACACAAACGTAACTTTGTAAAGATAATATCGCAGAAGTTTAGAACACAGCAAAATAAACTAACACACGATTTATCAACTACCGAAAATCACCTATTGCGTATCTCTCGATATGCGTGCAACAGCGTCCCTCCGATAAACTAACTGCGTAGCAATAGTACGCTAGGTACAGCGGATCCCTGCAGAACCGATAGGGGAACCCTTTAGGTCACAGCGAGCGACCTGAATATCTTCGCTCGATAAAGCAAAAATTGATATTATCCAAGGTCGATTAATTACCTTGAAGATCGGGAAAACATTGCATGTTTGTTATCGAGATCCCGAGTCTCGATGTCAGATGTCGGTAGACAGTCCGTAACCGGTTCGATCCGCCGTACACCGCGCACGAAGCGGTGCGCATTCCCATTGACCAGTCTGTAGTCGAAGTCGCGTATTCGGGCCAATAGTAATCGTGCGGTGCCTTTGAGAACACGGTACGGTCTCTCGCTAGCCTCGACTCTGGTGGTGCGTTTTCACACGTCACGTCGGAATCGAGAAGGGCAAGGAAAGGAAACAAGGAAGCACAACATCGACAGTCACATTGGAGCGTGGCGTCGGCTGGAAAGTAAAAACAAATCGTAGCGAGTCGACGTGAGAGCGCTGTCGCGAAGGGACCGAGGTACACGAGAGCGGACAAGTTCGGACAGGATCCCTAGCGCCTCGTACTCGTCAGTCGCGTCTCTGTTTCCGTGCTATCGTGTTCGAAAGTAGCAGAGAAGCTGCAACTCTTTTTCGGTACCAGGATTCCGCAGCGGGAGCCGCGCAAGACGAGGTGAGTCATTGCTCGTGCACCGTCCACGCGTATTTCCCGAGTCGAGAACCGTTTTGTACGTCCGAGAAATAACCAAGAGAAACTCCCTGTCGCGACGTACAACATTTCGATCGATGACGATTCCGCGGCATTAGGACGTCGTTGCCGTGCTCGTCGCCGCCGTTGTCGTCATCGTCGTCGTCGTCGTTGTCGTCGTCGTCGTCGTCACTCTTCCCATCTACGTCTCCGTGCGCGTACGTGTGCCCGCGTCTGTGTGCGCGCTCGTGTTCGGGCGTCGATTTCTTCGTCGGATTTTCGCGTCGATTCTCCGTTAACGATCGGCCGTCTGTAATCCGGCATAGAAGCTACGCGAGTCATGCGGTGTGACAAGGCTCTATAGCTTTGCCTCCTACGATCCGTCTCGATTTTATCTCGGATAAGTTTTTTAAACGGGCTCCCGCCATTGGCAGTTTCGCGTTCGCCGTCGCACGAAGCGTCAGCGATGCGATCGAGAGCTCGATACGTCACAGTGGCAGCCCGGGTATGCGATTACTCGACGGGAAACGAGGTTAGACGTTACACACGCGGCTATCCACGCGAAAAATCAATACACGACCCTCCTGGGCCACGATTCAGACGCGCGCTCATGCATTTCTCCGATTCGGGGAATTACCCTACGAGGAAATCCACGGCCACCGTGGCCCCTATGTCTCTGCAGCTGTCCCCGTGTGCGTGCACACACGCACGCGTACCTACGTAGCCGCGGCTGCGTCGCGAGTCGGGGACCGCAGCTGATCCCCGTAGTTCGGGTTTCCGCGACCGTATAAAGCTCAGGTTAAGCGATGCACCGTGCGTGTTTGCCGATCGATTCCGTGCCAACTATTGGACGAACGGACGAGCAAAAGAATCGAGATCGAATCCGTGGAATTTTAATATCGACGACTATGCTTCCGGTCGTGATAAAAGTTTAATGGGATTTCACGGTTACGCTTGAATATCGAATTAACCAGCGTCCGCGGACACTGACTAGGGACCTAGGTTAATACGGAAATCGGTTTATTTCCGTGCTCGAATCTATGTGCGTCGAACTTTTTAATAATCTCGTTCCTTATCGATTATTCCACTTCGTACGTTCATCGGGCGATATGTATAATTATTAATTAATAACGTATCATTTGATTACCATTTAACGTACCGTCTCGTAGCAATCTATGCTAAATCGTTGATATCTATGTACGTGTGTGTTTATAAAATTTGTAACCATTGCAGGTATCGCATAGATCACGATCGACGAATTTTTGTCGAAATAAATATAGGTAGCTTCGATTTTAATCGGTACGTACGGGCTATTTTTACGCGGCTGGAGAATTTATAGAGGTCCAACGAGCCTGGATTAAAAGCCAATCGCGCGTCGAGAATGGATCTTTTATAATTTTATCCCGGTGCATCGTGGTTTTATTTTCACGTATTTTTCTATATCGGGTTAGAACTCGATAGCCACGAGTTGTGACGCACGATTCCTAGCCTCGTTACGGAACGAATTTTCTTGGTCAGTGAAGGTTTTAATTGACAGGAAGACCGCCAGGTCATCGCGTTAGTACCCCACGGTGCCCCGAAGAGGGTCGTGCCCGTAAAAACTGATTTACGCTTTCGTTTTTGCGCTGGATAACGGGACAGCGAAGGAAAGAAATTTCCATACGCCGAAACGGGCCGCATCCACCGAATTACACCGGAAACGCTTGTATTACGAGGCGTTATTTCCTCCGTGACAGCCAGGCCGGGTACGTTTATCGATCGTTATCGCGCGAATTCACGTTCGTCGGGTGCAGATATCCAGGTTTCGATCCAACTGATAAACCCAGCGGAGGAAAAAATAAATCGGAAAAGAAAGAAACGAAAAACGGAAGAAGAACGAGAAAACCGATTATCAGGCTCGTCTCTGTTATTCGCCATTCTTTGCATGCTGTATCTTCGAGTACACAGTGCATACACAAGTTCGAAATTGCGGACGAAGCGCGTGATCGGTGAACCGTGCGCCATCCGAACCTCGAACAGGGTTTTCGCGCGGAGTCGCGGAATTTCGTTGAGAATTTCGTTGGGAATTTCGGTGGCATTTCGGGGCCATTTCGGGTGGACACGGTCACCGATCACCGTTTCGCGTTTCCCTCAGCATCTGCGAGTTTTCACAGAGGCGCGCACAGCGTTGCACCTTGCAGTTGGCATGCGGCCACGCATGATTGTCTCGATGTGTAATGACCGAGTCATTGAATTTTGTGCATGCTGACGCCACGTTTCTTCACGTCTCTCCATCTCCCCTCCCCTCTGCCTCTTCTTCTTTACGTTTCTACCGTTCGCTGTTGCGAACAGGACTGGTCGACGAGGTATCGGCAAAGGTATCGAGGATAAAAAGCCGTGACGGCCTTAATGGAAAGGTGAATCGTTCGGGAAGGGGATAAAGATATCGCGTTGGCCGATTTAGACGCGACCGGGCTAATCTCGATAGAGTGCATCGGGATCCGGAGTCGGGGCAGGGCGTGCGCAGGAAACGGGCTATTAGTTCTGAAACCGTAACATCTGTCCCTTTCTCGGCCAGAAAGCAATTAAGGAACGTCGAGTTGGAATAGACAGGTGCGCGCAGATAAGATCCGTAATTTCTGGAATTAAGAGCGCGGTAAGAGAGAAGAGGGAGCCTCGCGATCAACGCTGAAGAGTCCACCGTGCTTTCCATCGAGATTTTTCATCGAGATCGTTATACGCGAGATTATTCAACGGTTCGTGTAATCGCGGCGAGTTTTGTTTGGTTTCGTTCCGTTCCGTTCCGTTTAGTCACGCCGGTTTACAGCGTCGACGTTGAGTCACCCAAAGCATAATTGCAATTTCACCCCGGCGACGACAGGTGTAGCTGTCCTTTCAGCCGTAATGACGTCACGAGCCGAGCGTAGCTTTGCATCCTCGATGTACAGCATTAATGACCGGCTGTAGCGTTGTCCGTGCCTTTCGACCGCGTTTGCTTTTGCTCGATTTTGAATACATTAAAGCCGTGGACACTGCTGTACACACGCGCGGGGGTTCCCTCGAGTCGAACCTCGGGTGTAAAGGATCTTACGTAAACACGTAGACGAAACTCGGGCGTCTGAAACGGGAAATAGTAGGCGAAATTAATCGCGTTTGTTCGGCCAACTTATTCCACGAAACCACGGGGTATAATTAATTATCCGAGGGAAAGCAATTGAAGGAGATCGAGCTCCGGGTACCGAGCGGGATCGAATTCAGCAGAAAAACGAAGTAATTAAGAAAATTATTGGAGCATTAGCGAGTGCCGAATGAGAGCCGGGGGGAAAAAGAATTACGAACTATGCTGTACTCGATATAAACCCGCACTTTGACCTGGCAAGCGCGTTTTCCCGGAATTTCGACGAAAAATTCAAAGAGGCACGGTGAGGCTCTAAATTCGAAACCACGCTTAGGCTGGAATTAATCCTCTCACTCCTGAGTTACGAAAGGACAAAATTTCTCTTTTATCCTAAGAGTTGGCAGGACACGTTAGAACAAATTTTCTAAGCTCTAACAGCTTTGCTATCTATAGACGTTTTACAATGCCCGCAGTCCGGCATTATTATAGCGCGACATCGTGCAACGTCTGCAGGAGTGAACGGGTTAAACCACGAGTTTGACTAGTTTCGTGTTACGAGGAATTTGTATCATTACCCAAAGTGTCTAGAAGTAAATCCGGGCGTAAAAATATTCCAGCGTTCCTATTTCTGATAACGATTATCAGCGCGTCGTCTATTTCCCGATAACGCCAACGCGATCACCGCGACAAAGGCTGAAATACTCGCGCACTTGGAGGCGAATTACACCCGGAAAGCCCGGACGATAACTCTCTCGCAATCCGAGAACGTATGTAGATACCCTCTTCCACGAACGTCGAAGCGAAATAAAGAAAAGCCGGAATACCCGTGGTAATATATTTTCCATTCTCTGTACTTGGATATAACTCGTTGGGTCTAAGGTTCCGCCGAAACGTCTGACCCAAGCACGAGTCGTCCGAACCCGCGAAAGAACCCGGGGACATAAATCAGTCGGGCGGAGGGGCACACGAGACTGCGACTCCGTATCCGTGGCGCCATTCATCGCTGACCCAAATGAAGTCGACACCCCTTTTACTCCACAATGAGAACCATTTGCCAATGCCTCGATCGATAGTCCACTCGCGTTCACGTGGAACGTCCTTATCTTGGATTTTCTTTATTTGCCCGTTTGCCCGTTCGTTTGCCTTGTTGACGCACGTTATTGGCGTATCTCGGCTTCGGGCACGCGTATCAGCCATCGTCAACGCGGCAAGCAGCAACAACAACAGGGGCCAGAGGGAGAGCCACGAGGCGACGCTGGTCGTCGAGGAACGTCGAACCGAGAGGTAGATCCACCGGAACGGTGGACAGGATCATCCTTGTCGAAGACGTCCGAGTAGGTCGTCCGAGGCGGGGTTCGGGCTTTATCATCGTGGGCGAGGAACAGCGAGCTGAAAGGTCGCCATGCCGGCAGGTATTGGCGCTTCGTACAGGTCGTTAGGCGACCTGGGCGAAGACGTGTACAAAAGCACGACGATCGTGGACCAAACACAGACCACCGGGCAGAGCGTCCTCGAGAGTGTCAAGAAGGCTTTCAGTTTCGCCTCGCCCAAGGTCGAGCTGAGGAAAAAGGACCCGCTGATCGTGGACCGCCGTGAGAGCGTCTCGATCGTCTCAAGGTAATGCCTTATACGATATTGTCTGCGTGTACAGGGGAAAAACCGGTCGGCAGGTAGGGGTGACGGTCGCGGGACACGCCGTTTCGCTTCTTTTCGTTCTTTCTCGACCTCGGACCTCTCTCGTCTGCTCTAGCCGCCGCTCCAACCACGCTGTCGTCGGTAGACACCGTGCCTTCTATCGTTCTATCGTTTTCCTATTATTACGTCTCGCTTGGAACGGAGTTGCCATGATTCATCCAGGTGCACTGTACGCATTCGCCGTTTCTTTTTATCCTCCTTTCATTCCACGTTTCTTCGCGCGATTCTCGAAGCAGAGTCGTCACAGGATCGCGAAACCGTGGAGTCTTTTCGAAATTTTCCTCTGACTCGCGATCGCTTTCCTTTTCTATCGTCTTTGCAAATGATCGCGACGAAACTGATCGTGTTCGATGGAGAAATTCCTTTTCTACCCCGGGAATGAATATTGAAGAGGTTGTCGGTAATTTAGTAAATGTCAAAGAAATGCAAATGGCCGTTAGCCGATTCGAAATTGTTTGCACGATAAAGAGAAAAAGCTCCTCGGAGCTTATCGAGTTCTTTTCCAAGCGATACGGTATTGTTCGTATCAAAGGGGGATTTCGAATTGAAAGACAAACGCGATCGATGGCGGGGTAACCTGGGCAGAGGCTAAGGAGGTCGTGAATGATCGGTTCGAGGTCGAAAATGTCGACGGTACGGTTAGAGTGCTTTTACTATTGGCCACGGTGGTGGACTGGCGTCGAGGAATCGATCGTCACAGTTTCCTGCCCTTTTTCAACCAGCCGGGACTAAAATCACGGAAACGTACTTGGTGTACTTCTGGCAGACGCAACCAAAGTTGCCCCGCTTTTCGTTTACTAATACCTAACGGTTTTATCGCCACTAAAACGTTCTTACTCGCTAACCGCTTGCGTTAATAAACCTGGAGAATGGAGCTCGTAAAGACGGGTTCCGTAATCCGTCAGGCGAGTAACATCGCTCGATTCGGGCTCGTGTTCCACGTACACCGTATTCCTCTCTCGGGTTAAACATCTCTCTGCTGTTACGTTCAACTCTCCAGCTCGAACCCGTATTTCGTTCTTGCGAAACAAACAACGGACCGACGCAAACGACTCTGGACGACGACGCTTCTAGAACGTTCCACGAGAGAAAAATGTTCGACATCGAGCACTGACAGCCGTGACACAGAGGTGCCATTAGGGGCGAAGGAGTTGCATCCGCGATCTTCTCTCCGAGTACCGATCACCGGTCTCTCGAATGGACGTTGCATCGAATTCGCGACTGCGACCTAACCGATAGACGCGAGCTTATGGCAAAATGGCGCCAAGGATTTCGATCCTGCGACCGCTTCTCGATGTACCCCCGTGTACGCTCCTTCGAGCCTGACTACCGATCGAAGCAAGCACACTCGCACACGCACACACGTGTCCCTGTGGTATCAGGATAATCAAAGACTGGTTTAACCTTAAGCACGGACGGACTTTAGGACCGGAAGTTGCTGGCGCGACTATTGATCGGCCTGGGTACAAAAGCAGGCCACGAGGTAAGCCGCATCATGCGACCTGAACGTCACTCCTTTCCTCGCACTTACACCGCGTGTATTATCATCGCTGCCTGACTTTTTGACTTCCTACGCTTCCATGTTTGTCGCATGTACCTACACGAGTATGCAGTCGTTACTTCGTTATCCACGCTGGCCTCAGCTACCGCTTGTACATACGTACCGCGACGTCGATGATAGCTTCGCGATACACCGAATTTTAATTAAGGATATCGCCACTCTAGAGTCTTGCCACGATCAACGTTTACCTTCCTCGTGGAAAATACCGATGAGAAGGGTGCAATATCTTATCGGGGAAATTTCTGTGCTTCTATTTAGGGAATCGGTGTTTAATTTAGATAGAGCACCCTCTGGAGATGGGTCCTTTAATCGTAGATAACCACGCCGGTTCTGTGCGTCGCGATGATAGTCACGATGTTGAGTATCGCGCTGGTCATCGCGTAATATTCGGTAAGAAAAATTTGTAACTGGTGATTAACAGTAAATTGCAATTGCACGAAGGAGTTTCGCGAAAGCAGTCGAATTCAGTTTTCCATTTACCAAGAGGTTCGGTCAAATGTGTACCGTTGCGTTACACTTTCGTTTATTAGTAGAAAATCGAGCAGCCACGTTTGAAACGACTGGTACAAGAGTTTGTTGAAACGTTACAGAGTTTGATCATATACCGGGATAATATTATCCTGATTTATGCTCGCGATATTTGCCACTATCGGTCAGAATATAATACCGTGTGCTATTATTGCTTTGATCTTTGTTACAACACTGCTAGCAGAAAATTACGTAAGCACTTTCATTGAAACCGAAGTGCCTCGTAGCAATAAAAAGGTTTGCCCACTATAATCTTACATCACGCGCATTACTTATACTTTTAGAACCTTAATTACCAGTTGAAAGAGCTTTACATCGTAATCCATAAAATCACGATATATCTCGGTACCGAGCCTAACGCGACCAGTCGAGTGACCAGCGGATGAAAAATTGAGAGTGAAAGAACGTCAAAGAGAATAGGGTCAACTCGTCGATGAACAATTCCATTCTCGTATATCGATGATTCTGAAACACGTAGAAACGAAAACTTGGAACAACTTTATCCTACGTGCTTAGTTTTCCACGCTATACGATACTACTCTATCTATATGCGTGCGATCGTGGTAGCGCGTGCGTCACTGACTATGTTCATCGACGATAATGGAATAAAAGGAGATGACTATCTTCGCATTAGAAAAAAGGACAGGAAACGAAGGGATTAAAATAATAACGTCGAGTGAGGAATTTTGAATAAAAATTTTCGATTCTTGCCTAACGATTCGTCCTAATACCGTTGGAACCCGGATGAAGAACGCTGTAGACCGATTAATCTTTTCAGTATATTTCGTAACACTGCTATATGTAATACGAGTTCTATAACTAGGCTACGTCGGCAAATACAGTAACTATGAATCTTACTCTTTGATGGGATGAAAATGACCGTTGGCCCTTGGTCAAGGTAGAAATGACTAAGATGTTTTGAACTCTGACGTCGGCCTGCCTTTATCAGCTAGGTCCTTTTAATGACTAAGAGTCAACGGATCGTTGCTCATGCAACACATCCTGTTTAAATCCACTTTGATGTAATCTCACGATCGTTAGAGAAAGATCCAAGATACTTCGTCGCGATTTATTAATAAACTTATGATCGCAATATCGCGTTGGTAACGCGAAAATCACTCGAAGCCCAGTTTGGCAGACAGACTCGATGCGCACGACTCGTACTCGCCTGAGATCTGTCACTTCCTGGTCGTGGCAGGTTGCTCGCGAAAGCGACTCGAAAAATGAAGAAACGCAAAGAATCGGCTGTGCCAAAGGCAATCGCGTGTCAAGCAAACTCTCGAGGGTCCTAGCGAGGCTATCATCGGTGTTACGTTATTATTATCGCGAGCCGTCATCTTTCGCTTTTTTTCTCTGCATGCACGTAGTCGTCGGATGTGTGTTCCTTTGTCCTCGCAACGCTCGAGTTGCATTAGCGTGTGCTTCGTGGCGCGCGACGGCAGCGCGTGCGTTGCGGAACCGGCTTCTCGGTCCGAGAGATCCTCCTGCGAGGTCGATCCTCCGAGAACGACGACGCAGCAACGTATTCAGCACGACGCGTCTCTCAACCGCACGGATTCTCGATTTCCTCTGCGGCAACACCCCGAGCCTCTTTGTTGTCTCGTTGACAGCGACTAGCGACTGTCCTAACGTTCCAGCGTGCTCGTTCACTTTGTTGCGTCGTCTTCGAGATCCGTTTTCCACATCGGACGAAACGAACTGGCGAGACATTGATTCGCCATTGTCTCGCTGGATCGTTGCTCGACGCGGAACGACAGTTCGAACGAGGATATATCGAGGATTAGAGAGACCGGGTGCTTCGAGGCTTATCGCTGAAGAGAATGACGCAAAGATCGTACATGCTGGTTTGTGGCATTTGCGATACTGCCTGGCTAATGTTCGTCGTTGGCACCGGGTAGAGGCTGTGTAAGCCGCTAGGGCCGGGCGTTGTTATTATTCGCCGCCATTTTGTTCTAGGGAAA